GCGTATTGTAGACAATAATTTCACAAGTAATATTTATGACAACCTTGACAACCATACAAAATCACATGCTAAGAGACACTCGGCAATACTCAGTAAAATTCAGAGAATGAGACTAAGGTCTTTAAATTCGGAGCACTGATCCGAGTATATGGTTTTTATTTCATTCTAACCTCTGCCGAGTTTTTTCGGAAAGTAATAAAAGTGTCTCCCGTAACTTATGAAAACAGCAGTAATGAAATGTGAAAATGATGTACAGTACAACCGAGTTTCTTTTATTATCCTAATTTATCCTTATTACGCGCTACTAGATGGTATGATATACATTCTGCGGATCGGCGGATATGAACAGACAATTTATCTATATAAAGCTCAAAATTCTCACTTGAAATTCTAAACTGTCGACTCCAAAAAAAAACATGCCAATTAAATTAGAAATTCAAGATTTATCGAAATATGTTATAATCCTTACTGGTGCAACTGATGGTAAAATATTTTTTTTCAAAATTAAAACTTTTCTTAGTATGATAATAATTCTTTTTATTTAATTTTAAGGCATCGGTAAAGAAATGGCGAGGATTTTAGCCAGATCTAATCCAAAGCGATTGATTTTACCAGCTCGTAATATAGAAAAAGGAAATAAGCTATTAGAATATATTAAATCTTCTAATGCTGTCTCTTATACACATCTAGATGTGTATAAGAGACAGGGGTGAGATAAATATTTTAAGTTACATTTAATATTGTTAAACCAAGCATATACTAATGTATTTATTTATATTATTAATAAAGTATTATTTTGTTAAACCTAAGGTGGCAAACGTGATTATCAAGGGCTTAGGTCTTACAGCGGATTGACGGATCAACACCTTAAATGTTTTTCTTAAAAAAAATTATTTTTTAAAACTGTTCTAGTAAATGTTTAATTATTTTTACTGTTATTGTTTTTTTGTTTTTTTAAACAAAATTAACATTACTACAACTTATAGTTTTTACTTCTCATGATTCTTAAATCTATGATTTATTATTATTAAAGATGAAACACAGGATTAAGTTTTTTTTCTTAAAAAAAAAAAAAAAAAAAAAAAAAAAATTTGCAATTGATTTATGTAACACACTATCGGGTGAGATCAAAAAGGAAAGTGAGATCACCGAAAAAATCTTTATTCTAAATATGGAATTATCACGACTAAATATCCCTATGATTTTCATACTGCGCATATTTATTTGTTACACTCCTTTACGCC